AAAAATGCATATTTCACTTTTGACTCAGTTTTGAAGTCATTGTTTGACTTCAATATTATTCATATTATTATTCTGATTCAATAAAAAAAAAATGTATAGGCCTAATATATATAGGCCTACCTACAGAGGGTGTGTGTGTGTGTGTGTGTGTGTGTGTGTGTGTGTGTGTGTGTGTGTGTGTGTGTGTGTGTGTGTGTGTGTGTATGTGTGTGTATTCATCCTGAAGCGAAAAACAGCAATTATAAGTTTAAGGGCGGAAATTTCTAGAACTGATGTAGGCATAATGTTATTTGTAGTATGTAGGCATAAACGGTTATTTGTCTGGCTATTTATATCCTGCTGCCATCCGTTTAGCGGCACCGCTCCTCAGACGCAGAGTCACCACTCAGGGGGGACGGACGGACAGAAGGACAGACTGAGCGCTTCCTGTGGAAGGCACTGACTCACAACACAGCTTTTTGGAAGCCAGAGCGTGAGGACTTTTTGGGTTGGGATGTTTTTTTTCTTTGAGGCTGTGAGGTTTACTTAATGGTTGCCTTAATATAGTTATTTAGAACTAATTCTTATTTACAATGGCGGCATGGCAAGATTCAAGATTATCCTGCAATTTAAAATGAGACAAAAGGTCAGTCTTTATCATATTGCACAATAATAAATTGGACAGAGGTGGGTGAACATTTAACTCAAGGTCAGGTGTGGTGTAGGGATGTAGAACACATCAGAGAGCAGGATCAAGGCTAGGTTAAAGCTGCAAATAGCGATGAATGGGCCCTCGCCCCTTGCGCCTCGTCCTTTGCGCACGTTGGGGGGAGCAGCAGTCGCCATCTTGTTACTCAAAGAATGAATGAGTAACATATTATTTCCTGTGTGGAGTATGTGGCGATGGGGATGACACATTGGACATTCTGGGTACATTTGATGAACTATGAGGCATCTAGGCTTCACTTCCTGTTGTATAGGTGGAGTTATCAATGCATCAATATATTTACTGGACGTTGCCTGATATGGCTAAATATTGTCATGAATATTGGACATTGCGTGAAGGAGTTAAATATCACTTCCTGTGTCCACTATGTGGTGCTAGAGAACACGTAATAATTATACATAATCTTGCTCTATATCAAGTGAAGACCGCACAATGCACATGATTTGATAAATATGTCAATGTAAATCGAATGATGTTCCCAATATAGCATCATCAAGGTCTTAAGGCGTTTCTGACCATATTTGAGGTGGATCTGGTCAACCTGCTAGGAGGGATACATGAAAGTATAACCTTTGTGCTTCCCTGTTGCCAGTAGATGGGGCTATGGCAGAATATGATGTAGAGATGGGTTCAGGCCTGGACTCTTATCAAGCATTAGACATTTGGGGCAGATTGGACAATGCACATTGTAGTTCATGTTCCTGCTTCCTGATTCATGGCGAAAAGTGCAAATTCATGAAACCACCAACCAAATTTGAAGTCGCTCTGGTTAATTCTGTAGTAAATTCAACATGTCTGACTTCCTGTTGGGCTTAGGGTATGGGACCCATTGGCTTTTTTGTAAGTCTGGAGATGTTACATCTGCCTACCAAATTTCGTTAATCTACGTCAAATGTAAAGGTGGGGGCTTTGACTTTGAAAACTGTTAGGGGGCCAACTTGCCACACCCAAGCCCAAGGCCCGTATCACACACCGAGCTGCGCCAGTTCTGATGCGTGTGCACATTTTCATAACTTTCCCCTAGCGCCTCAAAAAATGCAGTCTCTCCGCGCCATGGTGCGCTGTCTCCCTCTAGCGTCCATTACGCAGTATTGCCCACATTAGTTACGTCATTTAATTCACGGTCAGCAATTGATAAGCCATCCAAGGATTTCCTACCGAAACTGCCATTTGCTGTTAAGAAATACTTTTATTTTTTGGATGATATTAATGTGGAATGAAAGGCTTACCATGTCATGGCTATTGATTTGGTTGCAACATTGACTTTAAAAATAATAATAAACAAGTCCATATTGTTTTGATATGTAGGCCTAGATATGCTGATCTGTAACAACCTTTTAACACCGAGTATGTTTAATAATATGGGCTACAGGACATGAATGAATACGTGAATAAAATATAATCGATTCAAAACCATAATCCCAAGATTGATCTCATATTGTAGGCTACTTATAATTTAAGGCGTTTATTATTGCTGGAATTATGTCTGGATCAAGAGCCCACTATCTCTGATCTTATCTTATCTGATCTGACATAATCTGATTTTATCTTATCTGATCTGATCTGATCTCATAGTGGTGCTCTTCATCCATGGGTATAAGTGTCTCCCCCTCGCGGCTCTGACGTCACTGTTCCGATCACGACTCGCTCCTCTCGTACATGCGTCTCTCCCCACCACACACACACACACACACACACACTCTCTCTCTCTCTCTCTCCCTCTCACACACACACGGTGATGCCGCAATAATTGAAAAATCACTCAAGACTGAGGTGGTGTGTCTTTCTGGTCCTCTCTCTGCCCCAACCTCCCACCCCTCCCTCCTCTTCCCTCCCTCACCTCCCCCCTCTCCTCCTCCTCCTCCTCCTCAGCTCCACTTGGTTTATTATATCGCCAGCCAGAGTGCATTCCTGCACCAACATGGTGGCAGCGGCGGCCACCGGAACTGATCCTAGTGGTGGTGGTGGAAACACCGACGCAGCCGTAGACAGCAGCGGGACCCGGGCATCAGGGGGGAGGACGGCGGGGGGGAGGACGGCGCCAGGCGAGGAGGACAGAGAGACACAGCACCAGCAGCAGCAGCAGCAGATGCCTTCGATGCCTTTCAGCGTGCTGGGTGAGCGTCACACACACACACACACACACACACACACACACACATGCACATGACATGCATGCATGCACGCACACACACACGCACACACACACACACGCACACATGTGTGCAGTGTTTTCCAAAGTGTACCAACATAAGGAGAGCTTAATATCGATATGAGATGTACGGTTATACAAAAAAACGGTGAAACTGTGCGTAGCCTATACGACGGGGCAGGTGTGTTGTGTGTGTGTGTGTGTGTTGTGTGTGTGTGTGTGTGTGTGTGTGTGGGGGGGGGGTGCTTGATGACTTGAGAAATGCAACGACTCGGCTGTAGGACAACGAGCTGTGAACTGGTCCAAGTCACAATAATGGGGTTGAATTCTCCCCCCCCCCCCCTCTACACCTGCAACATGATGCGCATTATAAGCGGGCCTGGCGGGATAGGTGTGTGTGTGTGTGTGTGTGTGTGTCCACAGGTGCGCCCACAGGAGAGGGGGGGGGGGTGTGTATGCGGTGTGTGTGCATACTTAGTAGTGGGCTGTTGTTGCACTACTCTGGAGGAAATGCACAATGGTACGGTGCTGTCCCTCATGTCGATGACATCATACAAGGATGTGACAAGGGTGGTTTTTAATACTATTTCTGATTTAAAAAAAACACACACATATATATATATATATATATATATATATATATATATATATATATATATATACAGTATGAACTCTCAATGATCAGACGGTTCGACTTACAGTAGTAGCAATATAATTGGGTTTATTGTTAATAGTATCATACAAGGAAAGGAAGAAGAGAAAATAACCAAAGACAAGCATCCGCTGATGGGTCTCCTTTCCTACGGTTTCAACCTGAGGCGATAAACAAGTGATAGCTGTGAGAAGCTCATGGTTCACTTGTTATGCACAGACATAGACGTAACAATTGAAAGGCCGAATCCTCTGCAGGTACAACTGTCACGCCACTGTAGCCTTGAGGCCTCTAAGTTTACTGAGGTTTAGTAGAGTGGAAATTCACGCACTGTTGTTGGGTCCCGTGATGGACGCATGCAGGACATGGGTCAAGCACAGAGTGTGTGTGTGTGTGTGTGTGTGTGTGTGTGTGTGTGTGTGTGTGTGTGTGTGTGTGTGTGAGTGTGAGTGTGAGAGGGCGGGGACCAGCACTGGGAGCTGGTGTCAACATGGCAGGTGAACTGTATGAGAGAGAGAGAGAGAGAGAGAGAGAGAGAGAGAGAGAGAGAGAGAGAGAGAGAGAGAGAGAGAGAGAGAGAGAGAGAGAGAGAGAGAGAGAGAGAGAGAGAGAGAGAGAGAGAGAGAGAGAGAGAGAGAGAGAGAGAGAGAGAGAGAGAGATGATGGTGAATTGCCCTGAATTGCTGCTCCTGTCCAGCCCAGTGATTTTTGCCGTCGGTGATGGGAGCCTCCGGGAGCGTCCAGTGATGTAAATGAATCTGATCCATAGAACAACCTTCCAGTCGCTCTGCCAGTGGGCACTGTGTTATGCTAAAATGAAGATATTTTTATTTATGCAATGTCCGCATTTTCCACACACACACACACACACACACACACACACACACACACACACACACACACACACACACACACACACAGAGATCTCATCCTCAGTGTTAACCCAAATTAGCTTCGCTGACGACACACACACACACACACACACAGATCTCATCGTCCTCAGTGTTAACCCATATTAGCTTTGCTGATACACACACACACACACGTCCTCAGTGAAAGCCTACATTAGCTTTGCTGATAATGCATGATAACTCACTGGTTTCCCTCAGGGACATCCAGTCCAGTCCCTGGAACGCGTGGCGAGTCTATTACAGCTTACAGTAAATCTTGGCTCCGGTCGCTGGGCAAACACACAGAGCGTTCAGGGGGAGAATAACACTGTTGTGGTTTTCGGGAGGCGGCGAGAGAGGGTTGTAACCGGAGTAAAACATCTCCAGGTGACGTTACCTTGGGCCGAGGGACGTTTATGTCGGACAGCTCGCCGCATGGATTTACCGTCGGATCGCCCGCCCGCCATAAAAGTTGGGTCAAGAGCGAGTTTCCCAGGGGAATGAAGGAGGTGGACATAATAAGAGATCCAAATCCTCCCGTTCGGATTGAATAGCGTGCCTTGAGTTAAACTCCCTTTTCAATGAGCCCCGTGCACCAAGGCAGGATAATCCCGGGGTTCAGGGTGTTTGACTCCCAGCCGAAAGGTTCTGGGATCAAACCCCGGTGGCTGCAGTCTGCATGTAGGTGTCCCTGAGCACGACGGCTACACTGACCGCTAACACAGCTCCTATGTGCTGCTCATTAATGTCATGTATTCAACAATGTACTGTAAGCCACTTTGGCTGTATAACCCGGACTGTCTGCTCCATATGAAACCAGCAGAGTGTGTCAATAGTTGTGTCCTTATATAACTCAGAGCTGCCTTTGCGTGACGTGGGGCCCCACCGGCGTACAAAAATGATGCATCATGTATGATGAAGTAGTCTTCATCCTTGATTAAGATTGACATTATGTTATCAGGCGACCCAGATTAAAAAGTATAACCACGCCTCTATGATAAAAACACAGGAAACTATAAACCTTTTAAAATGTTTATTTCACAAACAACTCTCAAGCCTTAACGGTAGCAGAGGTGACGTGACATCTCTCTCTCTGTCTCTGTCTCTGTCTCTTGCTCTCTCTCTCTCTCTCTCTCTCTGTCTCTCTCTCTCTGTCTCTCTCTCATCATGTCTCTCTCTGTCTCTCTCTCATCATGTCTCTCTCTCTCTCTCTCATCATGTCTCTCTCTCTCTGTCTCTCTCTCATCATGTCTCTCTCTCTGTCTCTCATCATGTCTCTCTCTCTCTCTCTCTCTCTCTCTCTCTCTCTCTCTCATCATGTCTCTCTCTCTCTCATCTTGTCTCTTTCCCTTCATTCTCTCATCCTGTCTACATGTTGTTGAATTTTACGCACCGGACGCACTGCATATCACTTCAGTAGCCTATAGTCCAGCATCCATAGGCCAGATAGTCCTGTCTGGGCGTCCATGTAGCATGTACAGTATAATGTGTGTGGCCAGAGGACTGTATGGGACCAGGGTCATGTAGGGTTTAGATGTTAGTTATATGGGAGTCTATCCTGAGAGAAGAGTGTCCATGGAGGACCAGATCAACCCGACACACTTAGGATGTGATCAACTTAACTGAAAAGAAGATAAGCGTGCACACGTCCGATGTCGATGACCCCACACTCTACACTGGACAGACGGGTTTAAGGAATCTGAACGATGAGGAACGATGTCCCTTTTTTATTTTTCAGTTTTGAACGCATCATGACACTAAAGTCTCACTCTTGTCATTTTCTGAAACTTGGCAGCCCTGTATAACTTCCAAATATGTGACACAAGGTTGTTGTTCCTGCCGGTGGCATTACCCTCACGTCATCCCACATACCATCGTCTTAGTGAACAAAAATGAACTCTCTGTTCTCCATGGTTATATTTTAACTGAATATACCAAGACGTACAGTTATGAGTGTACGGGGGTAATGGATGGTGTGTAGTACTGTACTCCTCCCTCCCTCCTCTTCCTATGTGTTTTCTCCGTTGCACTTTGAGGACTTACTGGGCTACAATCTCATATGTGTCTTGTAACTCTTCCCATTAAACGTCTACTCAAGGCTCATCTAGTGTCAGATGGAAACCTTTTCAGCTAAATTGTATTTTAACTATTAATTGGGGGAAAAAACCTCCCGCAATTAGTTGTAATGTTTCAGTCCTAGAACTTCATCAGACTGATCGTAATACGGTACATAGTAAAACTAGAAATGTTGCTCATTACCACCTTGGTTCATGATGATTTAGGGGTAATCCTTTCCTGAAAGCTGGGCCATATATCCATATAATATCCATATCTTGATATGAGACTAGATATCGTCTTAGATTTTGGATATCGTAATATCGTGATATGGCGTAAGTGTTGTCTTTTCCTGGATTTAAAAGGATGTATTACAGTAAAGTGATGAGAGAAATTAGAAAATACTTTAATTCACTGTGTGAATATACAATAGAGCCTATTTCTATATTGAATCACCAGAAAACTGGCTGTATCCTGATATATACTGTATATACCGTTATCGAGATATTAAATGACCTTATATCGGGATAGAAGATTGTGGCCGTATCTCCCATCCCCATCCTCCGGTACATCTCTCTGTGATACAGTGCAGAGTGTGATGCAGCGATGCAACATGGAGTCCACCTTCATGGGCCGCTGAACCATTACCCTGAACGTCAGGCTGATCCGCTCCTCATGCTTTTGACTTTGAGTCCCTGTGTCTGCAGTCTGCCTGCAGGTATCCTAGAGCTAAGATGCCCAAACCCATACCTGCTTATTAATGACCCGTGTCTCAAAAAAAATGATTCACTGTAAGTCACTTTGGATAAAACCTGTAAAAAGTACTTTTGTTTCTTCTTGCACTTTGAATCGAAATTAAACAAATGACAAGGGATGAATAAAACTGCACTCAGTCTAAGCTTGTGAGGGTGAGCAGAGCCACTCTGAACGGCGGTGACTATGAATCGGAGACAGATTAATCTCGCCCTCGCCGGATGAGACATATCACCATCTGTCTCGCTGTTATTCTCCATTCTCCCTTTTCACTCACTGCTCAGTCTTTCTCTCTCCCATTTTCTTTTTTAATCCCCTATTCCCCTCCCATTAGATAAATTGTTTGGCAAACGCCTTCTGCAGGCCAGACGATACATCATGTCTCGCAAGTCCTGGCTGAAGATGGTCCCTACGGACAACTGTGACATCCTGATGACTTTCCCAGGTACGGTAAGGTGCGCTGTCGCTTCCCCGCGCCCCACACACACACACACACACACACACACACACACAACCCGCTTGTCCTCCGACCAATCCATTGCTGAACGGGGGCCGCTGGCACTGAGCCGGGCCGCTAGCCAAATGCTAAGACGTTAGCTGGAGTACGAAGGGCACCTGGGGACACTTGACTGTCCTCCGTTTACAGCTTCATGTTTAGAGTCTCCGGTCTGAGTCCTTTCAAAATAAATGCCCTCCCAACTATTAAAAGCTACAGCTCCATATTTAGAGTCTGGTCAGAGTCCTTTCAAAATAAATGTCCCCCTAAACATTAAAAACTAGCTCCATATTTCGAGTCTGGCGTAATTTCTTCAAAATAAATCTCCCTCCAGATATTTCAAATGACATCTCCAAATGTATGTCCTTTCAAAATAAGTCACTCCGGATATTGAAGTATCAATATCTCTAAACGTCTTTGGTTAAATAGTTAGTGGCTTAGTGATTAATGGAGAGCCACAACGGCTGCGGCATCGATCAGGCTGCAGCAAGCAGTGTTATGTAACCCTTGGAGGACTGCTTGTGTAATGTAAGGTAACATGCAACAACACATATTCATGCATCAACAGTCATCCGCATCTTTACTCATTTGTCAAACTTTGACAGAAAGTTATGGATATTAGCCCCTATATCCAGAGCGCTGATAATATTGTTGGATATTTTATTATTTTCCTTTTGTTTATGTAGACATTCTCTGATGAAAAGCACCAGAGGTTTAATTGAGACATGGAAACGGCCTATGTATAATATGACACAGTGGTTTATGTCCGTACATTAACAGATTTTAAGCATGTTATATAAATCGTAATCGACTGCAATAATACAGCACTTTCTTCTGACATCTGTTGGTCGCTGTCAAAGTGCTATTTTATGTTAAGCCTTAACATTCACCCGTTCATACACACATTCACACATTTGCACCCTGGCGGCTGTGTGAACCAGGCAATGCAGCAACCGGCCAATGTGCCAAAGCAGCTCACTTTAGGTTTCTTGCCAAAGGACAAAGACAACTCCTCGCCAGAGGGGACCTGTGGTTGAATCAGCACTTCTGCTATTGTGTCTCCCGATTAAACCTAATAGATAGGCTGGACCGCTGATCTGGACTAGGCTGATCTACCCATCATACATCTTGTGATGTCACTAGAGGGTAGATTTTTACTTTTTAGACTTAGACTTTGATTTTTGACTGGCTTTTAATGGCTAATCAACATAGGGGCCCTTTGAGCATGTACCACGTAAACTGAAGCATGTTATATCTATACATTGTTGTGAAAAGCACTTTCAAAACTGAAACCCTTACTCACGCGTGTTCTTTAATGAAGCGATAGAAGAAGTTTTAGCTTTAAGAAATAATCAGTTTTATTGTTAACACCAGTAGAATGTGCAGAGTTTTACAGATATCTGGGTCCCACTACGTTTCCCTGACCGACAACAAAGTGTGTGTGTCAGTTCACGAAGTCTGAGCCCCAACTATCCCTGACCCAGGATGTTATATACACAAAACAGTGAAAACGTCATAACAAGGGCTGGCTGTTGTCGTCTTCCCACCTCGTTCTCGTATCTGACTCCCAGCATGTACAGAGGCCAGCCTGCCTGTTCTTTACTATCATATGACCTGCACTTTGCAACCAACTGATCTCACACTATTTATTCTACACATGTCACCAACAACGTACTCATTCCGATTATGAGGAGTTGCTTATATAATTATATGCCTCTGCTTATATCTCATGATTCTGTACCCTAATTATTGGTCATATGATGGATATAAAATATAACCATACCTTTAATACCACATTCATTTATTTTAAGCATGTTATGTCCATGTCCAACATTAGCTGATTGTATGTATTATATGTTATGTATATGTCCTACATGAAGATTTTAAGCATATAATGTACCAAGTTTTGTACCAAAATGCCCATGTACCCCATTAACAGACTTTAAGCTTGGGTCATGTGCCAACTTATTTTAAACATGTTATGTCCATGTGTACCACATTAAGCATGTCATGACAACGTACCACAATGTAATGTGAAGGACAGTAGCTTTTATGAGTCAGAGTGAAGTGCTGAATGACCGTGAGCCCGCGTCCCTGTCCCTTCAGACAGTGTTGACGACCACACGTTGCTATGGCTCCTGAACCAGATCCGTGTTGGGATCCCTCAAGTCAACATTCAGATCCGACAGCACAAACACACGCAGGAGCACGCCTTCTTCATCACCACCTCCTTCGAGAAGTAAGGCCTATTTGTGGGTGTGTGGGTGTGTGCAGTTGTTTTAGTGTGTGTGTGTGTGTGTGTGTGTGTGCGTGCGTGCCTGCGTGTTTGCGTGTTTGCGTGTGTGTGCGTGTGAGAGAGAGGAACGGAG